CCTGCGGAGAGAGGTCCGGGGCGCCGGGCCGGTGTCTGCGGGTCAGGGCCCTGCCTGACCCGTCTCTTCTCTGTCCCCTCCCTGGCCACGCAGTCAGCGATTGTCAAATTTAGCTTTTCTCCAAAGACAGCTCTCCCACAAGCGAATCTGTTGCTTCAAATAAAGCCTGTCTCCATTTCCCCACAGCCGCTGTGAGAATTCCTCAAAAAATTAAACACTGAAATCCCACCTGACTCAGCCACCCGTCCAGGTGCCTTCCGGAGAGAGTCACGGTCTTCATCCTCTGGGATCCAGGCACACGCGTGTTCACGGCAGCAGCACAGCTCACAGGAGCCGAAATCTCCACAGGGCCCGTCCATCTTTTCTTCCCGGAAAGGGAAGCGGATGTGCCTAGAGACCGTAAAGTTAAATGAGATACACCGAGCCTATCGCATGCTTTTCCTTACATGAGAAAACCAGAGTATAAATAAAGCACAAAATAAAAGATAGGTAATAGGAAGGAGGGAGACAGATCTTCCTCAAGCGAGACAAGGATTAAGAGATGGAGGGAGGGGAGGAAAGGTGGATGGGCAAAAAGAAACAAAGAAAAATGCAAATTGGGCTTTTGCAAACTAAGGGAACCAAGAGTTGGAAGGGTAGGGAAGGCCGGGAGAGGAAGGGGAAGAAAAAAGAATGAACATGTATGGTTCCCACGGACCAAGCCCCCAGATAGATGTAATCACGTTTACAAACGTGTACTAATGTTTTCCAGAACTTGTCCCCAAACACCTCCTGCCTTGCTGTCCCTGGGTCTCCCTCTTCACAGCTCTGTAGGACCGACAGCAGCTCGCCTCAGAAGCCGTCACATTTCCAGAGCTCTCTGTTCCTCATTTTATTACTGGATAATATTACCCAAATTCCCAGTCATCACCACCTCGATGATCTTAACCTTTTCTCTAATAGATGATGAGAGCAAAGCCAAGCGTGTCCCACTAAGAAAAAATCAGGCTTCCCTGGATTTTTCTTGCCCGAAATAGCTGTCCCTGTGAATGGCAGCACAGCTGCCCGGCAGTGGATGGGTTTTTGCCCCGCACTTTTTCCTAAGAGCAGGGAAGAGGAAGCCAAGGTGGGCGCGATGGTGAGTGGAGCCCACACCAGCCGGCCCTGGACATCTGCCCACTGGCCGTGGTTCACTGGCCCGGTGCAGGAGGTCAGGTGCCCCACTCCTGCCTGGTCCTCCCTGCCCCTGACAGATGGGTCAGAGACAGCGCCGCCCCAATCTTGGGGGTTGCGGGGCTTCGGGGCAGGGCGTTGGGGTCCAGCCGGGCCTCTGCCCTGTCTGACCAGTGGAGCCCTATGGAAGCATTCACAGCACGCGTTTCACGTCTGCTTCCCGTAACTTCTGCAAAGCCGGGAGACGGGGACCCTGATCTCTGGGGAGGAGGCCACCACACCAGTCCAGGCTCCTCCTCTGCCCTCAGGGAAGTCTCCCTCCTGGAAGCTTCCTTGTCCTCTCTCGCCCCTGGTCCTGACTGGGACGCTGTAGTGTGTAGCATGTCAAAGTCCTTGAACTTGAAGGGAACGGGCCGGGGCCTTAATCTGCACGGAAACGCTCCTGGAAGGACTGTGGCTGAGTCCACTGGAGGCGTGGCCTGGTTCTAAGCCGAGCAGACCCCAGGGCATCTACACGCAGGGACTTTCCAGGTTTCTCCCGCAGCCGCTGGCCTTCTGAGCGGCCTCCCAGCCTGTCCAGGTGAGAGATGTGATTGCAGATCTCGCTGTCCCTGCTAGCAGAGTGTTCACAGGAGGGTGAGCGATCCAGACCGGCAAGGCAAGGGAATCCACAGCCTGCACTGGCTTAGGAGAGTGAATAGCAATTTCAAAGCAGAGATAGGGAAATCACCTTCCATGTGAAAGAGCAAAAGAGGCAGGGAAAATTGAGAATAAACACAGGGCGTGGTTGACCTCTGAGTGAGAAAAATAGACCACGCCGTTGGGGTAAATTTGAGAGGCTGCTTTGAATCATAAAGTTGATGACCAGTTAGCCATAAGTCTTCCCCTTAACTTCATTTTTTTTTCTCTCCAAAAATGAGACAAATAACAGTTCTTGTTTCATTCCATTTTAAAATGAAAGTTTAAAGCAGTGTTTTCCCAAATGTGTTTTCTCAGATGATTAGTCACATTCCTGGTCCTTTTATAAAGACCAAACTCACAGCTCCCCGACGGGCCCCTGAAGATTTTGCTTCAATAGGTCTGGGAGGAGGACCAGGAGTTATAGTTGTATCTTTAGTGAGCGTCCTGGGTGATGCCCTTCATCAGAGAGGCTTTGAGACTCCTGACACACCACTCCAGCGCAGTTACAGCCCCGGGTGGGAACTGGGGAGCTGTCAACTGCTGTTACTTAGGGCGAGAGACAGGAGAGGGGCAGGGTGAGGAGGGTTACACGCGGCTGGAGGAGACGGGCCGAGGCCTGTAATGTCCGATCCATGCTGCATTACTGGCTTGATGTTGTATCTTGGAAAGCAAAGGAGAAGTCATTTAAAAGTTTGTAAGCAATAAAGTGCCTCGATCAGATATTCGCTTTTATAAGATCCAGCTGGCTGCTCCTCTGCCGAGGGAACTGTAAATGAATCAAACCGAAAGCCAAAGATGTGCTTATGAGGTTACCGCAGGAAAAATGAAGGAGAGCTGCACAGAACACTGGTGGAGCGGGAGAGCTCTGAGCAGGAGGCCGGATCTGGAGGGCCTGACCCACCGCAGGGAGGGAGCAGGGGCCCTCAGAAGCTCCTCGGGGTCCCTGCAAGAGAACAACTTGCGGGGGACCCACAAGGCAGGATGAGGAAAATTCGGTTTTGAGCACCCAGATCGGGCTGCCCCAGAGCTGGTCCACTGGGTTCACAGGTGCATGGGTCACGGCACAGAGGCCCAGTTGGACACCCACAGAGCTCAGAGATGGTGCTGGAAACCACCACTGGTTCTTCTATGAGCAGTCATGACCCTGAGGTGCTCAGGCTGACTGAGTTTACGCAGATCGTGGGCTCTTACCACAAACCTCTGATGCCTGCATTCTGTCTCCAAGGTCCACGCTCCCAGCTGCCGCTCTGTAGCCTTCCTGCTTCCTTCTCTGCTGCAAGTACAATTTCTGCCCCAGGAAGGAGAAACAGAAGGATTGGATGCACTCGCAACAATTTCTGAAGTGTCAGATACGGCATGACAGATTATGGGCTTCAGCGACTGGAGCGGGCTGGTGTCCTAGAAACAGTCGCTCAAAGAGCTGCCCCCACCCCGCATCCTCCAGGTAACTTAGATCTGCCTTTATCCCTACTGGCAGTGCAGACACACAGCTCCTCACACTGCCCTGGTCTGACTTGGAGGTCAGCAGCCTGGCTAGTTAATGGAATGACCCCTGGTCACCAGGACAGCGTCTTCCAGCCCTTCCTCGCCGCTCTCTGTGCTTCCTTCCAACCAACCCAGAAAGGGAGCAAAAGAAGGAATTCTGTAGAAAAACTAAGTGACTTGGAGGAAGTTTCCCTTCTGGAGTTTAAATTATGAAACAGAGTATATTTTATGAACCAAGTGCTCCTTTGTGTTTAATATCATTTTGGGGATAGATTTGTGCAAAGCTCATGCTATGAAAATGTGATGGGCTCGGCTTCCAAAGCTGAGTGCATATTTCTGCCATTCTGTAGTCCTCCCCAGCTGTCTGCAGGAACAACCTCCTTTACTATATTGTATGGCTGGAAAATTCCTCTCTCTCCTTCAAAATTTAGCTCAAGATTGGCCGGCCAGGTGGTAGAAATGGAAGCCCTCCACTCTTATCTCCCCTGCAGCCATATTTGGCAGCTGTCTACAGACAGAGGCATCTTCGCACTTTGGGGAACCAGTAGGAGGTTACCAGGTTACCAAAATGCCAGGGAAGCGGACACCAAGAAGGTCTGTCTCAGGAGGCAGATTACAGAGGTCGCAAGCTCACGGACCGTGTCTCCAGCTGCGACCCAGAAACAGCCCTTCCCCTGTGGACTCAGGCGCAGCCCTGTGTGACCTTAGTTCTGCCCGCTGTCACCTGCCAAGGTACCCAGAATAACTCATCCCATCCTGGGTCCAGGTAACCCGCACAGCAAGCTTGTTCCAGGTGAGAACCCTGAGGCTGCGGGTGACCTAACTCCAGCCCTGCCCCCGCATCGCCAGCAGGTGACCCAGCAGGAGACTGCCTGGCCCTGTCTGTGGAGGAAGACCTGCCCTTCAGCCCTCAGTGGATCCTAAGACAGCCCTGCCGCCCAGCCCAGCCGCCTCAGCTGCAGGCCAGGTGCAGTGCTGCCCACCCAGGGGTCCACCTTGAGTCGTGCCTGCTCAGTCCCCAGAAGCAGACTGGCAACCTTAGTCAGGTTGCAGATCCTGAAGCAGCCCTAGAAAACTGCTCAGGAGCCCAGCAGAAGGCACATCCATCTACAAACCCGCACACCACAGGCTCAGCGACATTCCCTGAAGCTGCGCTCTGACTCTGTTCTGACTCACGGAGGACCTGCTAAGAGTCTTCCCCGGTACGTGGTGAGAGCTACTGCTAGCCCAGCAGTGAACCTCTGCCTCCAGACACCAGGCAGACCCCTGACCCACTCCAAGCCTACCAACAGGTCCTGGAGGCCAGCTAGTCCGCCCCGCAACCACGCGGGTTCACACCTGCGTCGTCCTAGGCAACAGGCTGATTAACAGAGGACCCTGCAGATCCACTGGCTACCTCGCACTTGGCTACAGGTCCATTCAGCTGTGGTCCTAGAGGCAAAGAGCCAACAGGAGAAGGTCTTTGCCTGCTAGAGCCAGCCAACAAAGACTAAAGGGGCTGGCACCTCCACAGACCCCAGCACAGGCTAC